CCTGTGGCTGCAAGAGAACATCTTACTTCATGATAACTCTTCATGACAGTGAAGTTCACTTGTTTCTGGGTGTTCTGCTCTTGCTGAGTTTGCGGGAGCAGTTGCCTCACCTCCCAGTGATAAGCAGTGTGATGGCTGTAGCCTTATATTACTTCACCTTGCACAGTTCCTGAGTCCAGAGCATCCTTGCCCCTTCAGCTTGTTCTCCTGGGTCCTAAATTTCAAGTTCTTGCGGGGAATTTATTAAACTTGTTTCTGTGTGTGTTTGTATGAGTGGACCACCTGAAATTATGTGTGGAATCTTGTCAGTTATACCAGTGCAAGTGCATTTTTTCAGGGGAGATAATCACTAATTTTTATCAGCTACTCTAAGGATCATGTGTTCCACCCTTAAGAATGATGGCTTGGTAGGAATGTCAGGAAGGAGCCTTGTGTACACTTTGGCCATTAAGCGTGATCTTAGGCACTAAGAATCCGTCAGGTCACATTTCTATTTTTATTTCAAAAGACTAGTTAGAGATCCAAGAGCTCCAGTTCAGGGAAAAAAAAAAAAATTTTTTTTTTTTTTTTTTTTTAGAAAAGCAATACTAGGAAAAAGGATCTATCAGCCACTTGAGTATATGCTTGATGTTTTACTTTTCTTTGGGTTCTCAAGCAGCCCCGGAATACTCTTTCTCTTAGCGCCAAAGCCAGTTTTCTGCTTTCTTCTTGAATGTATCCCTACACCCTTCAGAGCTGCTATTGGGGATGTCTCTGGAGAGACTGTCTCTGCTCAGGAGAAGGCTGCAAGGAGGAGAAGACCTTGGTGGCAGTGGGGTTGTTGTGGGAATATGGTGACACTTCCTTCCCCTCTTAGTCCCTCAGTGAGCCAAGAAGGATGATCATGATCACAAATGAAAATGAAAATCAAGTGAGAATAAAACTTAGTCCTTAGGGAAGACACTCCTGAGTAACAGCTTACCGCAAGCTGCAGGAATGTTAGCAGGAGGTCCTAGAAAATCAGCTTAAAGGGATTAATTGAGAGGGAGGAGATCGAAGAAGCTAATTTTAAGTTTGTGCCAGAGACGAGAGAGGATTATAGGCCATTTTGTGAATCAAGATTTTGAAAATGAGAAATTCATTTCCCTTATGACTAATGGAGATAAATGGAGAAGAAAAGGAAATTTGGGCACTGGCTATATCCATAGATAAGTATCAATGGCTGCAACAGGGAAGTCTCATCTTTACCTGTTGTTGTTGATAAGTGCTGTTGAGTTGATCTTCGATTCATAACAGCCCCATGTAACACAGCAGAACTGCCCCATAGGGTTTTCTAGGCTGTAATCTTTACGAAAGCAGATTGCCAGTTCTCTCCCCTACAGAGCTGCTGGGTGGGTTTGAACCTCCAACCTCTTGGTTAGCAGCCAACCACTCAACTGTTGCGCCACATAAACAAGGATCCTGTTAAGATTCTGAATCACCTGTAAGCGAGGAAGTTTCCTCACTTGATCGTAATTGTTCAAGTGTGAGCTTATAGACAGACCTTGGTCTCTGTTATGAGGTTATGTGAAATATAAACATTATTAATCAGTATGTATTTACTGGGCCTTTATCTGTGCCAAGAGGCAGTGGTGGTTCAATGGTAGACTTCTCACCCTTCATGCAGTAGACCTGTGTTCAATTCACAGCCAATGTACCTTAAGCATAGCCACCACCTGTCTGTCAGTGGCAGTTTGGTTATTTCTATGATGCTAAAAGATGTTTACCTGTATTTTATTGACTGTGCAAAGTCATTTAACTGTACAGATCATAACGAATTATGGATAACATTTTGAAGAATGGGAATTCCACAACACTTCATTGTGATCATGAGGAATCTGTACTTATACCTAGAGGCAGTCGGTCGAACAGAACAAGGGGATACTGAGTGGTTTAAAGTCAGGAAAGGTGTGCATCAGGGTTGTATCCTTTCACCATATTTATGCAATCTGTATACTGAACAAATAATCTGAGCAGCTAGACTATATGAAGAAGAACGAGACATCAGGATTGGAGGAAGATTCATTAACAGTCTGTGATATGCAAATGACACAAGCTTGCTTGCTGAAAGTGAAGGGAACTTGAAGCTCTTACTGATGAAGATCAAAGACCACAGTCTTCAGGATGGATTACACCTCATCATAAAGAAAATGGAAGTCCTCACAACTGGACTAATAAGCAACATCCTGATAAATGGAAAAAATATGGAAGTTGTCAAAGATTTCATTTTACTTGGATCCATAATCAACGACCATGGAAGCAGCAGTCAAGAAATCAAATGACGCATTGCATTGGGCAAATCTGCTGCAAAAGAGCTCTTTAAAGTGTTAAAAAGCAAAGATGTCACTTTAAGGACTAAGGTGCGCCTGATCCAAGCCATGGTGTTTTCAATTGCTTCTTATGTATGTGAAAGCTGGGCAATGAAGGAAGACCAAAGAAGAATTGATGCCTTTGAATTATGATGTTGGTGAACAATATTGAATATACCATGGACTGCCAGAAGAACTAACAAATATGTTTTGGAAGTACAACCAGAATGCTCATTAGAAGTGAGAATGGCAAGACTTCATCTCACATACTTAGAACATGTTATCAGGAGGAACCATTCCCTGGAGAAGGACATCATGCTTGGTAGAGTAGAGGATCAGAGAAAAAGATGAAGACCTTCAACAAGATGGATTGACACAATGGCTGCAACAATGGGCTCAAGCATAACAGCAATTGTAAGGTTGATGCACAATCAGGTAGTGTTTCGTTCTGTTGTACATAGGGTTGCTATGAGTTGGAACTGACTCAACGGCACCTGGCAACAATAACAACAACATGATGCTGAATAGGTTTAAGCAGGGCTTGCAGAATATAACAGATCTACTCCCAAAAATCAGCCAAAGAAAACCCTGGGGATCACAATTGTCCAGTCCTCAACTGATCATGGGAATGGCGCAGGACTGGTCAATGTTTCATTCCATTGCGCATGGGGGTCACCATGAGTTGGAGGCCAACTCCACGGCAACTAACAACAACAACTCTGTGCCAAGCACAAGGCTGAGCACCAAGAGGAATACAGAGATATGTAGGCCAGATTCTGTCTCCCAGGCTGTGGGTGTAGTTGTCCAGGAAGGAGACAGGCATGGGATGTGGGAGATGTCAGGTGAGTTGTGCTGAAAGTGGAGGTCGTCTCAGGCTGGATAGGCTAGGAAAGGTTCCACAAAGGAGGAGAAGCCAAGGCTGGGTGCAGAGGATGGGGCCAGCCATGCAGGAAGACCTCAGAGTCAGGCCAGCTGATTGAAATGGAGAACTTGTGGGAAGAAACAGGAGGTAAGGCTGAAGGGGGTGGTAGGGAATGAATTGAAGAGGACCTTGAATGGTGGGATAAAGAGTTTGACTTTTTCTGCAGACAGTGAGGAACCATTGAAAGTTTTGGAGCATAGGAATATCCCAGTGAAAGCAGGGTTTCAGGACAACTAAGCTGGCAGTGAAAGCAGGGTTTCAGGACAACTAAGCTGGCAGGGGTGCATAACAGATTGGAACCCAGTGACTGGTGACAGGAAGAGCCTGCAGGAAACTTTTCAAGGGTTCAGTGTGAGGCAATAAAGCATCACCAAAAATGAGGCAGTGGGAATAAGGGCGACTAGTTGAATGAATGGTCTTGATCCTACTACAGCAAGTCTCAGCCCCAAGTCTTGGGCAGGCAGGAGTACTCCCAGGACTATAGCAGTGGACGGTGTCTAGTTACCTAGTGCTGCATAACAAAAAATACCATAAATGGGTGGCTTTAAAGAACAGACATGTATTGTCTCACAGTGTTAGAGTTTAGAAGTCCAAATCAGGGCATCAGCTCTAGGGTAAAGTCCTTCCTTCTGGGTATCCCTGGGAGTTCCTTGGCTTGTAGATGCATCTGCCTCCATAGTCACATGGCATCTATCTTCCCCCATGTCTGTGTGTCTGTACTCCCGTTTATAAGATACCACTCAGAAGGGATTAGGTTTAGGATCCACCCTACTCTGATATTCCCTAATTAACATTAAAAAAAAGAAAACTCTATTATCAATCAGGGTCACATTTACAGGTACAGGAGTTAGGACTTCATATTTTGGGTGGGATACAATTAAATCCATCACAGCTGGTGTACTCAAACCATAGGGTACACCACACATCTTCCAAAAATTTGGGGGAAGGGGTAAGAGGGATATTATTTTTTTTTTTTTTTAGATTAAAGCAAACATTACTGTATAATGAAGATAAAACACGTGGCATCAAATGGTAGCATCCTCTTTGGGTTACAGGTCCAGAGCTCCAGGTTTCCTTCTCTACTCCCCCACCTGTGAGGAGTTTGGAACAGATGGCTTCTACTCCAGCCCTCTCACGTGACAACTACAGAGACTGAATCCAGAGAGGTGGGATAACACAACAAATCTAAGAGTGAAGCACAGAAGCCTGACTCTTGACTCCTAGCCGACGTTCTTACTTCTGTGTTACATAGTCTTCTCTTTATTTGCCTACCACTTAGGAGATAAACTACTAAAGTATTAAAAAGAGTTCAGGGTTAGTAGAAAAGGGTAAGAGAAACAGCAAGGGGGAGGAAAGAAATAAAGATTTTTTGATGCTTGCCCTGTGCCAGGTGCTTTATTTACATGAACTCATTTGATCATTATAACCACTATGCAGAGTAAATATATCCCCATTTTAAGGATGGGGTGCAGCAAAAGACAGATTATATTATTAACCGCTTAGGCCACACAGCTGGTAAGTGGTAGGGTTTGGGTCTGAGCTCAGGTCTGTCCGATGACAACCTTCTGACCTTCCTTATATTCTATCCAAACATATTAACCAGTCTCTGCTTAGATGAGAGTGCAGCAAATTTGGATTGGGCAGGAAGCACCTCTATAAGGAAGGGAAGTGACGGGAAGTGCAAAATCCCATGAGTTGCTCTCTAACTCTTCTCTCTCTTTCCTGGTTATAGACACCTGGGCATCAGAGTCATGAATAGCACCCTGAGGGATGCCCAGGCCCCGAGCTACCGTGAATGCCTCCTCCCCTCTGTGGCTCGGACCTCCTCTATCACCCATGTCACGCCAGCCAAGAAGATAACCTTCTTCAAGAAAGGGGATGCCTGGTTTTCCGGGGTCCGGCTAGCAGTTCACCGGCGCACCTTTAAGAGCTTCAGTGCCCTGATGGACGAGCTCTCTCAGCGCATGCCTCTCTCCTTCGGGGTGCGCTCCATCACCACGCCCCGGGGGCTGCGCTGCCTTAGCACTCTGGAGCAGCTGGAAGATGGGGGCTGCTACCTCTGCTCTGACAAGAAGCCCCCCAAGGCCCCCAGTGAGCCTGGCAGGCATCAAGGGACAGGCCTCTCTGCTCAGCCGTCGGGGGATTTCGAAGGCTGGTATGAGGTCCCAGGAATACCTTCTTCCTGGAAGAACCCTAAAGCCCCAAGGAGGATAATGTTGGTTAAGAACATGGACCCTAGATTCAAGAGGACAGTGGTTCTCAGTCATAGAAACACTAGAAGCCTTAGGGCCTTTCTCAACAAAGCCTCAGATCTTCTGCACTTTCCCGTGAAGCAGGTGTTTACAATCAGTGGGAAAAAGGTAGGCTCTTGAGGTATATTTCCTTAAAAGAATTCTTTGGACTTTGGGTCAAAATACTTAGATGGTATCTTGTTTTCCTAGAGCTGCTGTAACACACTGGCTTGCTTAAAACAGCAGAAATTTTTTGTGTCACAGTGCTGGAGGCTAGAAGTCCAAAATCAGGGTGTTGGCCATGTTGATTCCTTCTGAGAGCTCTTTAGGAGAATTTGCTCCATGCCTCTATCCTAACTTCTGGTAACAGCTGGCAATCCTTGGAGTTACTTGGTTTGTAGCAGCAGAATTCCAATCTCTGCCTCCATCTTCACATATCTGTCTTGCTCTGTGTCTGCCTGTCTGTATCTCTTCTCTTTTTATAAGGACACCAGTTATATTGGATTAGGCCCACCCTCCTCCAGTATGACCTCATGTTAACTAATTACATATGCATAGGGACTATTTCCAAATAAGGTCACATTCACAGGTGCTAGGGGTTAGAATTTGAATGTATCATTTTAGGGGACACAATTCAACCCATAACAGATGGAATGGGAGGATTATTCCTTAAAGGAAGTAATTGATTTATCTGCTACTAACTAAAAGTGACTAGAGAAGAGACATTCAGTTAGTTAATCAAATAAGCAATTGTTATTCAAACTTTCAGTGACCGTTTAGGGAGCACTGACTAAGTGCTAGGTGCTGTGCTTTGCACCCTTTGCAGTTTTCTTATCCACTCCTCTTAACAACTTATTTCAGTGAGAGTTCAGTGAGGGAAACAGACACTACTTGAGATACCTTAAGCAGAAAGCAATTTAATATGGGGCATTAGAAGCTTCCAAATCCTTGGAAAGCTGGAGAAGGGAACTCTAGATGGACCTGCAGGAATGGCTCCCAGTATCCTTCAAGAAGCTGCTAACTCTATTTGATGCTACTGTAATTCCTAAGTTCAAGAACACTTCTCTGCAAGCATCAAAGATTATAAAGCTGGGACCGAGAAACTGCTGTAGCTGCTTCTTGACACCCAGGAACTCTGGAGCACTGAGTCTAGTCCCTTCAGCTTTAGCTGCCATGGTCTCCTGTTACCCACACGCTTACTCAACAACAAATACTGCCAGAATCAAGAAAAGATAGTATCTGCCTCATTTCTACCTTCCCAATGTTGACCAAGGACATCTAATAGATGGAAAATTCCATCTGCATCCAGCCCTAACTGTAAAGAAGGCTAGTTAATATAATTTTTGCCTTTCCAGGTCTTGTAGAACATGAATGTGCACCAAAGGTGGGCAGGCAGAATGGAGATTGCCCCACAATCCAATCCTATTGCTATTTAACATCTGTGTACACCATTCTACTAATGCTTTAATTTCCAAACAGCAACTATAATAACATGTTCCCACCTAACAATGTAGCTCTCTCTCACACAATCGAAAACATACTCACCTTCTTCCCTGTCTTAGGCTGGATTCTCGAGAGAAGCAAAACCAGTAAAACATATAAATATATACAGAGAGAGATATTTATATCAATGAAATGGCTCACGTGGTTGTAGAGGCTGTAACGTCCCAAGTCCATGGGTCAGGATAGAGACTTCTCCTGATTCACGTAGCTGCAGGGTCTGGCAAACCCAAGATTGGCAGGTTGGAGAGCATGGCTGTTGCTCATAGGCTGTGAAAATTGACGAATCCCAAAATCAGCAGACAAGACCACAGGTAAGCTGCTAGCTAAAGTTCCAAGAACTAGAGGTCAGATGAACAGGAGCCAGCTGCAGGATCCAGAACAAGCAAAAGCCCCTGAGCCCTGCCAGAATGTCCACCCACACTCGATGCAGGCCACACGCCCAAGGAAACTCCCTTTCAACTGATTGGCTGCTCACAGCAGATCCCATCATGGGGGTGATCACATACCAGATCTCAACAGGGAAGTGACCACAGCATCACACAACTGCCAAAACATTGAGAATCATGGCCCAGCCAAGTTGACCAATGATCTTAACCATCACATTCCCCAAGGTTTCATCAATTACTGTATCCTTCTTCAGTTCAATCACAATTCCATCTTGATATCCTGTATCTGTAGGTCTAATTATCAAGTCCACCACTGCCAGAATACCTTATATAAAATAATACAGGGGAATAAGAGCAAAAAACAGAAAGTTTGTTAACATGTAAATATGTAGCAGAGCTGTGAAAAAATTAGATTATCTATCATGAAACCATCACTGGTACTTAAAATTTCCTTCCACTCTCCTTTCCATGCTCCCTCTGCCCTCAACCAGCACCCCAGCTAATTGTGGTTATGTACCTGGTGGGACTGAACCAGTATTCTTGAGGGGTCTGAGTCTTTGGTGTTTCTCCTTATATTGTGCTACTGTAGTCTCATATTAACTTTTACCCACTGGAAATGGCAACACTAGAGGGTACTCCAAAAAATTCCCTAGGCAATAAATTTCTTCTTCTCTGTTCTCGTTGAGTAATAGCAACTCCATTTCCCCTTGATAATCAAACTCAAACATCTCATATAACAAAGAAGTCCTCTTTTTGTCTTTTGGTTCAATGTCATAAGGAGCTCCATATGGCCAGGAGATTGTCTCAACATTCAGATCCATTGAACCACAATATGTGTCTCCTGGAGTGAATATCCTCCCTAGGTCCTGAGACCTCTAAACAATCAGAATCCAAAGTTGCAGGTACAGGAGGCAAAATTTTTGAAGCTAGGTCATTAGGTATAATAGTGAAAGGAGCCACTCTCATTCTTGTCCTTTAATTGCCAAATATCTGTCGCCTATGGAGAAACAGCACTATGTACTGGTTGCTATTTTGGAGCACATATCACATCTTGTAAGACAACACCTCAACGTCATAATGTGATGTCTTCCAGCTTGTGCCAAAATTGAGTTTTCCAAAGGATATTTTATTGTTCCAAAAGTATGGCTGCTTTTGAGCAATGGGATATATGGTTACCCAGTGAATTCCATGGGAGTTATCCTATTGTCTCTCTTCTTTTGCTGTAAAATCAATTCTTTAGATAGAAGTAATATTCACAGGTTCTGGCAATGATAAATAAGATATTCAGTAAGTCCATGGATGGTGATACTGGCAGAAGGATGATGGCCAAGGAAGTCTATGTCCAAAGTAAGTGTCTATTTCATTGAATACAAATTTCCATCCCCACTCCATAATGAAGAGGTTCAATGTAATCAGCCTCCCACGGGTGGCTGGCTGATTCCCTCGAGGTATGTTGTAGAGCGTAAGTTTATCATTGGTTTTTGCTGTTGGCAGCTTGGGCCCTCAGCAGCAGTAGACAGATCAACATTAATGAGGTGGAGTTTATGTTGTTAGTTAATGCTACTTTGCCACTTTGTTCATGAGCTGATTGAGCATACCCTGGGTGATTGGAGAAGAGGATGACTGACATCCACTAAAGAGTTTATTTGTCCACACGATTACTGAGAGTCTGCAGTGTATGCCCTTTGGGGAACATTCACATGAGGCACAAATATTCTCACACTCTGGGCCTATTCTGAGAGATCAATTCACTGGTTTTCTTCTTGTTATCAATCCTCCAGCCTTGTTCCTTCCAAGTCCCTGATTATCAGATTGAGCCATTAACCACTACCCTTAAATTGGTATAGAACTTCTTTCCCTTGCTCCTTCCAAGAAAAACAGTCAATTGAATAATACTGCCCCCTGGATTTTCCTCCCCTGACTCCCCTGAGTTGGTCTGTAATGTTGCATCCATCAAGTTTTTGCTAGTGTCAGCATATCCTGTGAAACGATCTGAAATCCAGAATCAAATATTTTCTTCTTCAGTTAACTGGTCATGGGAATTTCCCATGAAGTCCTAAGTGTGTGCTGAGCAGAGATGACAATGCATCAAGGCAGGTGAATTTGAAGTGTGAGCCGCTTGCTCATACAACTTGTACCTTTAGGACCTGCTTGCACCTGATCACTAGTACATGTCACCTCTACCTAAGGATTGAGTGTTATTTCAGCACACCTACTTTGTGACTTAATGAATCATATAATACCCAGTTCAATTGTATTTCAGCAACCAGCAGAAGAGTTGCTGACACACAATGAAGACAGGGAGGAAGACATTTATTGTCCATGGAAGCTTTTGGGGTACCCTCCAGTGTTACCATGTTCGGTGGGTAAAAGTTAATAGAAGACCACACTAACACAATATAAAGGGAACCAGTTATGTACTATAAGAGATAAGTGACCCTTTTACAGAAGTCAGAGAAGTTCCTAGGTCCTCTGTACATCCTTGAACTGAGAATTTAAACCCTGAGCTTGCCATTTTCTTTAAGCTCTCCAGAGCAGTCAGAGGCATCCAGCTTACTCCACTGTCCTTGCATTTTTTTACTCTCATGATAATAGCCTATCTTGGCAGCCAATGATGGATCAAAGTCTTGCTGTCAGTAAGCACTGCGTTCTACTATCAAGGGTGATTATTTAAGAACTTATTTTGTCACTGTGTGTCATGGAATACCAGTATCCCATTGTAACCAGATTATCACTGCTTTCAGATCCAACTAGTGAGATAACTAATGCCAGATTCCCATCCTTGGAGGTCTATTGCCTGTAACAACCTCTGATACCAAAGCCAGAAACCTCTCTAGGTATCTTAAGCAGGAGGGAATTACATACAGAGACTTTGATGCTTAAAGATTCATTGAAAGGCTGGAGGAGTGTAGGCTGGGTTTCTAGAAATGAATCACAAAATTGATTTGTCAGGGTAGACATCTCTGACACAGTTAAGAAAGTGGGGTGTTGGAAGGTCATCATTGGAATTATTGAGTTCAGTATCACCCTTCATTGCTGTGTTCCAGAATTAGGAAGCTGATGCCATCACAACTGCCTTTTGACATGCAGGAAGCTGGTGACTGGGAACTGGAACAATGAGGGTGGCTTTTGTTATCCCAGCTACAGATGCCTCTTAACACTTTGACCTTTTTTGCTTGTGGCAATAGCCAAAAGCAAAAGGAAGAAGGCCTCTGCTTCACTATTATTTTCCATATCTCATAAAAGTGCATCTAATTGCAACTTTTTCACATTTAGAATCATAGCTGCAAGGGAGTCCAGGAAATGTGTTTATAGCTTTCTGAGTTCTGCAGTACTGGAAAGCACAGCAGAAAGAGCGTGGAATAAACATTGACTAATCTTGTGCAGAACGGAGTACCAATTGAGATGTTTCAACAAAGGGCTACAAGGCTAGAAGTGTTCACTAGTCTATGCCAAGAAATTTGGAAGGCAGCTACCTGGCCAACTGACTGGAAGAGATCTATATCTGTGCCCATTTCAAAGAAAGGTGATCCAACAGAGTGGGGAAATTACTGAACAATATCATTAATATCACATACAAGTAAAATTTTGCTGAAGATAATTAAAGAATGGTTGCAACAGTACATCAACAGAGAACTGCCAGAAACTCAAGCTGGATTCAAAAGAGGACATGCAACAAGGGATATTATTGCTGATGTCAGATGGATCTTGATTGAAAGCAGAAAATACCGGAAAGATGTATATCTGTATATCTGTGTTTTATTGATTATGCAAAGACATTTAACTGTGTGGATCATAACAAATTATGGGTAACATTGTGAAGAATGGGAATTCCACAACAGTTAATTATGCTTGCGTGAAACCTGTACGTAGACCAAGAGGAAGTCATTTGAACAGAACAAAGAGATAACGCGTGGTTTAAAATAAGGAATGGTGTGTGTCAGGGATGTATCCTTTCACTGTACATATTCAATCTGTATGCTGAGCAAATAATCTGAGAAGCTGGACTACTTGAAGAAAAATGGATATCAGGATTGGAGAAAGACTCATTAACAATCTGCAGTATCCAGATGATACAACATTTCTTGCTAAAAGTGAAGAGGACTTGAAGCACTTACTGATGAAAATCAAAGACTACAGCCTTCGGTATGGATCACACCTCAATATAAACAAAACAAAAATCCTCACAACTGGACCAGTAAGCAACATCACGATAAACGGAGAAAAGATTGATGTTGTCAAGGATTTCATTTTACTTGGACCCACAATCAATGCCCATGGAAGCAGCAGTCAATAAATCAAACAACACATTGCATCGGGCAAATCTACTGCAAAAGACCTCTTTCAAGTGTTAAAAAGCAAAGATGTCATTTTGACTCTATCCATGGTATTTTCAATCACCTCATATGCATGCGAAAGCTGGACAATGAATAAGGAAGACTGAAGAAGAATTTATGCATTTGAATTATAATGTTGGCAAAGAATACGGAATATACTATGGACAGCCAGAAGAATGAACAAATTTGTCTTGGATGAAGTACAGGCAGAATATTCCTTAGAAGCAAGGATGGTGGGACTTTGTCTTACGTACTTTGGACATATGCAATAATGCTTCTCAATAATTCTGCAACCACCATGTACTAAGCATGTACTACATACAGAGTATGCAGACAGATAGGACTAGGTCCCTTCCTTCAATTAGCTCACAGGTTAATCAGTGTGGTGAGAGGGAGAGCAGGTACAGTTAACTGGAGAAAGAAGTATTAGAGTTCTCAGCTCGCTGTTCATATAGACTTACTAAAGGACTATTAGATGTTCTGCAAACATAATAACTTCATTGCTTCTGAGAAAGGGCTATGTGGTGTTTATCAGTTTTCAGGACCTCTACTGGATGAGCACCCTCAATAATGCTCTTTTATCATGTTTGCTCTACCTCTTCCAATTTTGGTGAAATATTAGTTTATGATAAAAAATGGGAGCATCACTTAGTTCTCAATTCCTTTTTCTTCCTGGAAAGTCTGATTCCCTAGAAGCATGGCTATGTCTACAGATTGATAGACTTGGATCATGTTTGGTTGTTGTGATGGACTAGGAATCTAAATCAACAAAATCTACCTGGCAGCTTAAAACAAACATATAATAAATATGTTGAAAGATCTTCTGGTATACAACAAATTTCTATGCCATGTTTTAGGAAGAGAATGTTAAGACTTCTCTCTTTTTTTAATGTTCTTGTTAATGAGCACACCTTCCTAATTTGAGAAAATGAAAAGGAACATATTCTGCACTTTAAAGGTGGAAATAACCCCCACCCAACACTGCTAACTACAGTGTAATGCTATAAATAGTGCAAACCCTCAGACATGCAGGGGCATCTTGGGCCAGGTGAGATTTTCTAAAAGCATGTACCTTTTTCCTGGCATGGAATCCAGCACTGGTGTTGCATACTCTACTTCTAGCCTAGGAGCAGACATCCTGCTGAGGAGGGCGGGGGAAGTGGGTGGGTGGGGGGAATGGCACAAGTGTCTGGGCAGGAGCCTAAAGAACTATTGTAGGAGCCAGAAATGGAAAGGCTACCTATAGAGAGAATGGTGCCTGCCCCTCCCTGCCTCACTAAGGGCAGAAATAGAGGCAATAGCCTGGGATTAGCCTGAAAAACAGGTCATACACAAGAGAGGACTCTCTGCTTGGGAAAACGGTGAGACAGTGAATCAGGTCTCTGTATGAAAGCTGGAAGGCTTATTTCTCTGGTTGCTTCAATATTCTGGAGGGTGAAAGTATAGGCAGGGAAGCAGAATAACAGGCTTCTTAAAGTCTTAGCCACCAGAGGCACCCAGAGTAACTTCCAAATCACAGGCCTCATATCTGGTGGAGGGAGGGATGCAGTTAGAAAGATTATTGTGGTATGACCTCAGTCTTCAGCTAATGATGGATGTGTTATGGGGAGTAAGTGGGGTTCTTCCCTTGGATCAGGAATCTGGGGTGAGGTGTGCAAAAATCAGGAAGGGGTTGGAGGGAGTGGGTTCTTCAACCACTTGTATCTTCCTGGGAAGGATGTGGTTCTGGAGACCAGGACCCCTAACTCCACACTCTTCTCATCAGGTGGACTCCCTGCAGAGTTTGCTACACAGCCACTTGGTGCTGGTGTGTGCTGGTCATGAGTCCTTCAGACCTCCTGCAATGGAAGATTCTAGGAGAAATGGAACTGAAACTTTACCTAAGCTGAATTTAAGGAACAAAAATGGTGAGTTAGTTTTGGTTTTTCACCAATCTTATTTGCACTGGATGTTGGTTCATTAGGACTGGGCAGATATTGCTTCCAGATAATTCAGGAAACCTGCCTTTGGCCCAATTCTTGGTTATCCCAGTTGCTTTTGGGTCTCTCTTGTCTCTTCTTCCTCCTTTTCATCGCCATCAACCTTAACTGGGTTGGACATCCAACTGGGATACAAGAGAGGGGAGTATGGTATGTAAAGGAAATAGGAATTAGGAGATCTTTAGCTCTAAGTTTGTAGGTTCCAAAATAACTTTTATTAAGAACCATTATGGAGGCAATGGACCATGGGTGCATGACATTGCATGGCTGAGGGTGCAGACTTGAATATCAGAACCTGATATTGTATGTCCAAGTCCTTTAAGAATCAGTAATCCCTTAGGCAACAGTAAGGGCCTATAGAGAGATCAAAAGGACTAAAACTAATGATAACCATCAGTCATCCATATATCTATACATCCAGCCATACATCCATCCAAAATGCCTACTATGCACCAGACTCTAGATTTGGTTATATTGTATATGTATATATAAACACACACACAAATACCAAAAATGCAGGATAAAAGTTTAAGCAAGATTGCTGGAATTCTGGAGTGGCAATGGGCTTTTTGGTGAGTGAACAAAGTAATATCCTTTGTAAAAAGCTGTTAAGCAAACAACAATAACAACTACAATAATTTCCGTGATTGCTGCATGCCACGTGCTGGATGTACAAAGACGTATTAGCCACAGCACCTTCTCTGGAGGAGCCCAGTTTCATTTGGGTCCTATGGAGGATCAGGGCTCAAAAAAGCTTTTTCCTACCCAGATGTATTCAATGGGGGGTCTTTTCTTCTGGTGGCCATAGACTCAGCGCTTCCCTTTTGCCAAATGCTAGCTCAAGAGGTGAAATGAGAAAGCACAAAGTACTTCATTCTTTCTTAGAGTCACTTCTTTCTATTCCCAGGTGGCCTCTTATGTTTTTCATAGGTTGGGGTACAGGCTTGCATATCAGGACCTGATACTGTATGCCCAGGTTCTTCCTTGCAATCATTTATCAACTCAAGAGGTTGATGAGTGTTAGGAAGATAAATTACCACTAATCATTGCAAAACATTTTATAGCCTACAATCAGACTCATATGCAGCAGCTTATTGATTTCACATCCTTTGCTGGGGGTGATGTGAGAAGAGATAAGCGTTAGCTCTGGGTACTGCTGCTCTGCCTGTCATCTCTGCTGTCCATTGAGAACCCACTGTACGTTAGAAACTGCAGAAAGTTTTATATACATCGCCTTGAATCATCAAAACAAACCTACCAAATAGATATTATTATTTTACAACTCAGAAAATAGGTTCTGCCTAAAGCGACACAGCTACTAAGTGGCAGAGTTGGGATTGAATTCAGGCCTCATGCTCATCCCACTAAGCTATCCTGGTTCACAAACTGGCAGCTCTATGGATATTCATTGTAGAGTGGGTTCTGCCCTCGTTGTGCTGTTTTAGAGGTGGTGGTGGTGTTAGGTGGTGAAAGGCTCAAGACTAGCCTTCGTGCTTTTACCCTGGTGCTCCCCACAGTTGCTCACCATCTTTTCCTCTTTCCTCTTACTCTTCACTGCATACCAGGGAGCTGGGGACTGAAGGCCAAGCAGAGTGTTATCCACTCGAGGTCCAAATCAGGTGGCAGGTCACGGCAGTTCTCCTTGCTGTCAGAGAGGTCTGGTATCAGTGACCCCTCAGTGTCCCTGCATCGCACCTGGATGGGCCCTGCCCTTCATAGTGACCCTCAGGACACATCTGCCTGCCTTGGCCCCTTGGTGGCTGATGATGACTTTGAGAAGAAGGTCCACATGAATGAGGACGGCAGTCTGTCTGTGGAGATGAAAGTCCGTTTCCATCTGCTCAGCGATGACATGCTCCTGTCGTCCACAGGGGCCAGGAGGGCCAGCACCCTCACGACAGCCAGTGGGGAGTGCCCTGTCCTGGGGGAGGTGGACCCCCTACATTGTGTGTGGGAAGGCAGCTCTGGGGGCTTCTCAGAGCCTGGGACGCTGGGACTGAGGCCCTGTGAGTCAGGCAGTGAGGAGGCCTTTAACCAAGACCAGCAGGCAAGTCCCAGCTACGAGATCTGGACAAACCCCCTGTACAGGACCCAGCAAGAGGACACAGGTTCTTGGAGTAGGGCTGGGCTTACTCAGCACTGCCACTCCATGGCTTCCTGGAGCCAAGTTGTTGCCAGCTGGAAAAGAACCAGTAAGGCCAGTGTCAGCTCTGCCTCCAATGCCAGACCTCCAGCAGGCTCTGAGCCAAAATCCTTGTACTGCCCCAGGACCCTGGAAGGCAGCATGGGCAGCTGCAGTGGGTGTCAATCCTCCAGGGCTACCTCCAAGAGAAGAGGTGAGCAGGAAGTTGGCTGCACGCCCTGGGCTGGTGGGGGCCCAAACCTAGGACCCGACCTATGTCCAAAAGGAGCAGAGGAGGGCAGCAGGGAACAACAAGCTGAAGAGGAGGGACATGAAGAAGCACCTTCACTGGGCTGCCTGAAACATGGGCCTTGTAGCCTAGAGGATGCTCTTCCTGATTCATCAGCAAGTGCCAGGTTTCTCAAGAAGTCCAGTGAAAGGGGTGAGCCATACTGGGGCTGCGCAAGCAGGATGGGAACCATGACTTCACAGCAGGAACACACCCAGGAAGGCAGCACCGATTGCCCTACTTTGAGTCCCTCGTCTTTGAAGAACGGAGACCTACAGGCAAAGGAGTGTGGACAGGGCACTGGAAGCCACAAGGCCAGGGATGGGTCTGTGACAAAGCTACCTGTGGCTTTGGGCCATTCTAGCTCATGGGATGCTGAAGGGTGCTCTTCCCCATTTTTCCCCTGTACCTCAGCCCAGAGAAGGAGGAGAAAGCAGAAGAGCCAGGCTAGTGCTGTGTCCTCACCCAGCACTTCTAGCTTTGGCAGCATTTCCCAAAGAAGCTGCCACAGGCAACATCACCACCAAAGGGATATCCACTGCTCATTGGACTCACCTACAACCAAGCAAGCACTGAGTCCTGCTAATAAAGGAGGGGCCTGCTCAGATGGCCCAGCACCAAGTTTTACTGAAAGCTCATCTAGTGTCAGGAAACAGGCTTCCAAGGACCCAGGGTCTCCCTCTTCTGGCTCTTTTCATTCCCAGTGCCCACCAGGGTTCAGCAGCACTGCCATTATACTTGTTACTAATTCAGAGCCACAAAAAACAGACTTTGCTTCTAATTTCTACCACCCACACTTCACCTCTGTTGAGACTGAAGGGGACCCTGAGCTCAGGGTGAGCTCACCATCCCCCACACCTTCCAACCCATCAGACTGCTTTAGCTCTCATGTTAGGGTTGATCACCTGGATGAAAAGGCAGGAGGCAACATCACCAAGCTCTCCACACCCTTGGTTTGGGTAGTTAAAAGGCCTGATGGAGTGAAATCAGGAGACCACCGAGGCAACTACTGCTCCCAGATTGATACAGCCCTAGTCTGTGGGACCCATGGTGGTAAAACGCAGGCCCCGCAGGCTTCTCAGCCACAGGGCGGCCTACAACCTATCTCTGGGGCCTGCTTGGTGTGCAGCAGGTACAGCCCCACACCCCCGAGGGGACAATCTTGTGTCAAGAAACACTCTTCAAGCAGCAGTAGCAATAGCAATAACAACCAAGGTACTGACTGGGGGTCAAGTGGAGGTAAGCAGGGGGATGAAAAACTCAATGGACTGAGAACACTGACTCTGGGCTCAAAATCAGGGGCCATAGGGAAAACAGTGAGAGCAACCAAGAGGAGCAGCCCCAGCCCCAGCCTCAGCCCCAGAGGGATGTCACAGGGGAAGATTGCTAGTGAAGAGGAAAGCCTTGAGGAAAGAGAGGAAGATGGCAACATGATGCCTAGTACTCTGCCCCACATCTCACCAGAAGCTGTCATCTGTGAATGGCTGAACCACATCCCAGAAAAGCCCATACTTATAAAATATGAGATGATGGATGAGAGCCCAAATGTGGCTGGGGATGGCCCAGAAGACACCCAGGAGGACCCTGTTGACAAACATTCCCTGGAAGTCCTCGGGGAGTTAGCTCAGGCCAGAGAACAGCCCCTGGAAGGAGAGACAGGTGAGAGACCAGAACTGGATAGAGCCTCAGTGACTGATGATACTAGTCCCAAATCAAAAGAGGCTTTTCCTCAAAAAGGAGCTTCCAGGGGTGTTTCAGATGCTTGTGAGGAAGCCAGAGCCAGTGATAGAACCACTGTGGGCCATGGTGTGAGTGAGGGTGTCCTGCCCAACAGGATACCTACCTCCATACAGATCATGAAGGAATTGATCAGCTCAAAGCAAGGCCGGCCCAGCAGCCTGCCTGAAGTGTCTGGTGTAGTGGGAAGGAGGCTCAGCCACTCTGCCCGTGCTCTTGTCACTTGTCTCGCCAGGCTCCACTTCTTTGATGAAGACCTTGGGTCTCCTGTCAGCAAAGTGAGGTACATAGACTCCCCTCAGTTCCAGGAGCTCCTGGCCATTTTCCAGTCCTTGTGGCCACAGTATGACCTTGGGAAGGAAGAGCTGGACTTGGGCCTCCAGGAGCTCAGATCATGCCAAGCTCTGCCAGACTTCACATCCCACACTGTGACTGAGGACTTCACCCCGACATCCTCCTCAGGAGTAGATGTCTGCAGTGGTTGCAGAGGCTCAGGGGAGGGCAGCGGGCCTTGCCCTGTGGACTGCGCCCTGACTGCTGAGAGGATGGAGCTGCCCTTAAAAATGGTGACAAGCATCATCTCCTATCAGAGGCCTGACTCCAGAACCTCAGAGAACCCAGAGGATCTGAGAAACCAACACCTGAGTAGTCCCAAAGCCTCCTCAAACTCCCAAACTTGGACTTGTGCCACAAGCCAGGATGAAGCAGGAGAAAACAGCAGGGAGCAGATGCTGGACAATAGCCTAGAACAAGTAGTTGATAACACGATGCAAGAAGCGGGGGTACAAGTAGAGAAGACACAAGAAGAAATAGAAAAAGAAGAAATGCAAGAAGAGCATAGTAAAGAGGAAGAGTTTCCAGAAGAGGAAAGAGTCAACAAACAGGATTCATCAGTGGACGGCACTCAGGATGGAGAGGGCATACAGGAAGACACGAGAATACAGAAAGAGGAAGCAGGAAGAGACCCTGACTCCGTAGACCTGTGTCCTCCAGGAATGAGTGATAAACCAGCAGAGCCCTCCAGTAGCCCCAGTGAGAGTGACTCTCATGCCAGTGAGCATCAAAGTGGCCCCATGTTTGAGCCTGGTTTGAAAAAGCTGCCTAGAAATGCTGAGATGGCAGGTGAACAAACCCAGATCAATTCCACTCAGGAGACTGGGGAGAAGAGCAGCTCCATGGCCCACAGAGGGCTCCTGGATCTTGACCCCATCTGGGTGTTCAGGTTATTGAAGAAAATAGAGAAGGCCTTCATGACCCACTTTGCCAGTGCCATAGCCACGGTCCGAGTCTGCAGAACGACGATCTGCTGGATCAGATGGTGGCAGAGGTGGAGCAGAACTTGGGCTGGCGGCTCTAAGAGAGCATTGAGAAGGAGGTCAGGAAGATCCAGAGCAGGGCCAGGAGGAAGGCGCCCAGGCCATCCCGGGAAGCACTGCGGTGGGAGGCTTCGATGCAGACAGAGCAGCAGAGACGCCGCTTCCAGGGCCTGCGCAACCTCTCTGCCTTCAAGGAGCAGACCCGAGCCCATGGGCTCTTCTCCCTCACCCTGGAGGATAAGCCATCCCTCAGTGGTGCCCCAGGGACTGAGCTGGGTGGGAAGGCCAAGGGGGAGGGGTTTTGCCCCTGTGAGGCCTGCATGAGGAAGAAAGTGAGCCCCACATCCTCGAGGGACACAATGGGACAATGCAGTGCACCCATTGAAAAGGCCTTTGACCTGCAGCAGATTTTGCAGAAGAGGAAGGGAGGACCTATTAATGGGGAGGCACTAGAGGGAGCTCCTAAGAAGGGAGGGATGGGGCTGCTTCAGAAGGCCTCCTCGAGGACCGGATCTGTCCAGGGAGCTGATGGAGAGCTGGTGCTGGGATTAGGCCCTGGTTCTTGGGTGGATGAGGGAGATGAGGATAAAGGGAACCAGAAACTCAGAGGAGATGAAAATCTTGAACTAGGGGAGGCAGAGGGGGCTAATTACCAGGAGGGAGAGGAGGACTCAGATGCCCAGAAGAAAGACAGGAAAACAGATATCAGTGTTGGCAACAACCTGGAGAAAGAAGAATGGGAGGAGAAGGATGTGGGTGAGCAGGAAGAAAACAGGAATGAAGAATCTGGGAATGAGGATAATTTGGAGGGTTAAGCCTCAGGAAGAGGTGACCAAGGTCCAGGAGGAGAGGGTGATGGTGCAGATGCTATCAAGGCCCAGGAAGCTGAAGGAGAGGGACAGAGTCGAGAGGTGAGAAAGAAGGTATCCCACCAGTTAGCCAAGGAGAGGGCCACTTGAGTGAGGCTTCTGAAAACAGCAGTCCCTACCAAGAGGGGAGGCCTGCACCTCCCCCTGCCCCAGGTGGAGATACCCCTCACCAAAGGTCAGCCCCTGAAACAGTCATCTCCTCCTCTAGCATGTTGTCTCTAGGAAAATGCTCTCAGGTCTCTCAAAAAGGCTCAGAAGAAGAGCATTCCAATGGAGATACAAGGAGCATTGCAGATGAGCCCAAGGTAATCACTCAAGAAAGAAAAGTCACCAGGATGTACTTAGAAAGCTCCACCTCTGAGCAAGAAGGAGCCCCTTCAGGCCCAAGCACTCCAGACCAGGGGGCAGATAAAGACCCTGACTTAGAAGATAGGAAGGTAGTTAAAAGCCTCACTTTTACCAAGGTGGTAGACAATACAGATGAATTTGGCCAAGATGATTCAGATTTTCTGGAGATCAAGCTGTGAGATGATCATGAGTCTTGTAACTGTTTTTATTAACATTTTGTCTACAAACCTGAGGGAAGCTCAGTCCCCTGGAGATGTATAGAGAACATGGGAGAAAATCAAAGGATTTGCCAAAAACACAGCGTACACCACACTTTCTCTGATTTCTACATTCTGAAGTTTCAGTGAGCCCTGTTGTCCTGTCACAGTGTGAAGGAGAGTTATCCTCAGATCTGACCTGTTCTTGGAGGTCAGTCCTCCCTCATCCATTTGCCTCCTGAGCAAGGAGCGATGAACCAGATTGGAAGTGTTCCATTAGAGTTTTTGTTTGTACTAACAAGTGTTTCTCTTGTTCTTTTGCCTGTTGATCTCCTGTTATTTTTCTCTTTGGCCTCTCTTGGCAGTCTGCTCGTTTGACTTTGAGGTGCTTTTTTCTAGTCTTGAATATATTTGGTGACTCTGCAGATGTTGATAAAGTTTGTTCTTAGCCTAAAAGTCAAAGTGTATTTCCTTAATTCATATTTTGATAATGGAAAAATTGGAAAATGCAAAAAAATAGGAAAAAAGAAGTCACCCCTAACCCCTTGACTCAGACATTACTTCTGTTAGCAGTTTGATGTATTTCCTTCTATCGTTTTTCTAACCATTTTATAGTTGAACTTATCTTTTATATACAAATTTATATACTCATTTTTTTAATTTAACAATAGAAATATTTCTCCCATTTATCACAAAATTTTTATAAACATAATTTAAAATACCTGAATAATGTTCCTTATGAGAATATAAAATACTTCACCTTTTTCCTATTGTTGACCATTTAAATGGTTCTCATGATTTTGTTCTTAAAAGCTTTTTTCTAAACTTCAGGTTATTTCCTTTAGGATAAATTCCCAGGCATGGAATTACTGAGTTGCAGGCTATCAACCTTTTTAAGGTTTTTGATATCTTGCTGCCAAATTGTTTTTCAAAATGCCTGTACTAACTGCCATCACCAGCAGCATGCAAGAGTGCCTGGCCCACCATACTCTCTCATCAGTGTTTGATATTGTCGTAAACACTAGAAATCTTTTGCTAGCCTTTTGAGCAAAGAAACAATGTGGTACTATTTAGATATGTTTGATTGCAAATGAAATGAAAGATTGTCTAAGTTTTTAAAAACTACTTGCATATAAATTATATGGGTTTGACATTTGCCCATTTATCTACTGGGATTCAGGGTTTTTTTAATTTTTTAAATTTTTGAAATAAATTAATTGCATGGTCTCTATATAACTTAAAAAATTTTCTATTTTTCATTTTTGAGATTAAGAAATGCCCTCCCTCCACATTCTTCTATAGCTGGCCTCAGACTGGGCCCTGTCTGGGTAGGGAGCTCTTTGATGGGACAGGATTTCTTTGGATTTCACTGGCTTTCTGCTCATACGTGTTATTTTGTGTTATACAGATTTATTAAAATGAAAATGTATGCTACAAGTAAAGGCATTTTTCCTTGTTGTTTAAATGTATCCACATAAAGCAAACGTTGGGTGTATTTTGCATCTGCACACCTGTAGCATCTGCTCTGCTGTGCTCTGTTGTTGAGCACTGGAATGTTCTTAATAAAATTTCACATGTTTAAAAATGCTGTGACAGTGATTCTTTGAGGTTTTCGCACACACACATATATACATATATGTATATATATGAGCCATGGTGGTGCAATGGTTAAGTGGTTGGCTACTAACTGAAAGGTTGGTGGTTTGAACCCACCAGCCACTCTTCGGGAGAGAAGACCTGGTGATCTGCTCCTGTAAAGACTATAGCCTAGGAAACATAGGGCAGTTCTAATCTATCATATAGAGTCACTACGAGTTGGAATCGACTCAACAGCACACAACAACATACATACATATTTTAACCTTTACATATTTTGAGGTAGCGTGTTGTTGGATATTGACTGGTGAACTAGTGAAGACTGAACTCATGAGTCACTTGTCAAGTCAGAGTGAAGAACTTGGATCCTAGCCAGAAGCAGAGTGTACTGATTTAGATGTGATCTGCAGATCTGGGGAGTCATTCAGCACTCGTCGCTATTGGTGTACATGGAGCATCCACCATGCATCTCTTCTATGATTTGAGGTCCCCAGTCATTCCCTAAGAGATATTCCAACCTCTTTGTTTCCCTATCTGCTGCTTCCTAAATGTCAGAGTTAGCCAGCCCTGACACCCACTGACCTGGCACTTCATTAAAATGGGATCGTCCGTCTCTATCAACAGAGTGCAATGGAAAGAGGATCTAGGCTCAAGTCCCAATTATATCACCCAAACTTCAGTTTCAACATCTGTGAATTGGGGTAAATAATGCTTTTCTTACAATATTGTTAAGAGAAGTAAATGCGATAACTTATGAAACTGCATTACACATACTTTGGGAAAATATCAGTATTTTAAAGTATTCGTATTAATTATAACTACTACTTATTCAGTGCCTACTATGTGTCAGGTACCATATCAGACTCTTTACATAAATGATCCCATTTATTCTGCCCAACAAATCTGTGAAGTAGGCATATTCATCTGCATTTTACCAACAAAGCAGCCAAGACTTAGAAGAGTTATATAAACTTTCTCAAAATCACATAGCTAGTTAGGGGCAGAGCCAGTATTTAGACTCAAATATTTCAGACTCTTGTCTTGGAAGAAGTACAACAAGAATGCTCCTTAGAAGCAAGAATGGCGAGACTATGTCTTACATACTTTGGACATGTTGTCAGGAAAGACCAGTCCCTGGAGAAGGACATCATGCTTGGTAAAGTACAGGGTCAGCGAGAAAGAGGAAGACCTTCAATGAGATGGATTGATACAGTGGCTGCCACAATGGGCTCAAGCATAACGATTGTGAGGATGGCACAGGACCGGGCAGTGTTTCGTTCTGTTGTTCATAGGGTCGCTATGAGTCGGAACAGACTCGATGGCACCTAACAACAACAGACAACAATTTTAGACTCTAAAATCCATGTTCTCTTCCACTGTATCATATTTTCTTTATTTCAATTCAGGCCCCATAAATAAATAACTTAGGTAAAGGCAGTCAACACTTTGTTGAATTTACTGCAAATAGTTGACTTAGGAAAGTAAATTAGATGGGATTTTTCTGCTCAACTGATTGCATTATGTCTTCAGTGATGTTCTACTTACACACAGATATCTGGAGCTGGAGATTACCTGGTTTTATAAAACTGGGGGTTAAACTGAAAAGTTATCTGTACACTGGATTCTCCATTTAGTTAAAAACTCGCCTACTTTAAGCCCTCAAGTATTTCTACCATTTATATTAAAAATTTTCTGTTAATGGACAACTCTGTTTTCTTCTGATTTAGAGATAAAGAATATTCAGGACCATCGATTAAGGTGGGGATTTCGTGTCTCTTTCTCCACCCTTTTTCTCTGTAGCAACCATATTGCACAGGACTCTGAAATTCAGCATCTCTTGAAAATGTCCATGTTCTTGTAGCTTCAGCCTGTCCCTGATTCAAAACTTGAGTCATCCTTTACACAAAGTGCTGCTATAGTACTTATCAGCCTAACTCAAAAGATGTTTAACCAGTGGGGTTTCTCCTTCGAGTAAGTGGGAGAAGGAAGTGAGTGGTAGGGAGAGGAATCAATCCCTTCTCACCTCTCCGTACTGCCCAGCTGAGGAGGCTCAGAGATCCCAGCTCAAAAGGAATAACTTTCAATGTCCTCATCCATGGCTGCATATTAGAATCACCAGGTTCTAGACTCAGAGATTCTGATTTTATTGGTTGGGGTTAGGGCTCCAGCACAACTATTTTTTAAAACCACCCAGATGATTATAATGTTCAGTCAAGTTGGCCTATCACTGATTTTATCCAACATCCTCCTTTTCCAGGTGAGAAAACTGTGACCCATCTGGAAAAAATGAGTTGTCTAAACCACAGCTAGTTTAAGTGGGCAAGCAGAGACAAGACACTAGGCATTTTTCCACATTCCACATGACATCCCCCTTCCCAGAGCTAAGAGAGGCAACCTAGCCACGTGCTCTCATCACTTGCATGGCCACCCCCACCTTGCCTCTTACCCAAATGCCTCACCTCTTGTGCTGAATCTTTTACTGAGATACAGGCTTTGTCTTCAGAATGTGAATGGGGGAGAAGGTAACCTGCCTTAAGTCAGATGAAGCCCGCAATGCAAGTGTACACTTGGAAGAGGAGGTTTACTGAGGTTTCCTCCAAAAATTATAGACCTGTGTCATGGACTAAATTGTGTCCCCCCAAAATATCTGTCAACTTGGCTGGGTCATGATTCCCAATATCATATGATTGTATAATCTGATGTGATTTCCTTATGTGTTGTAAACTCTATCACTATGATGAGATTATATGTGATCTTTTTATGTGTTGTAAATTCTATCACTGTGATGAGGTTATACTGATGAGGTTTACAAGATTAGATAGTGTCTTGATGCAATCTCTTTTGAGATATAAAAGAGAGAAGCAAGCAGAGACACATGGGAACCTCATACCACCAAGAAAGCAGTGCTGGGAGCAGAACGTGTCCTTTGGACCTGAGGTTCCTGCACTG